TGCACCCTATTTCCGCAATTATTTGTCTTTATTGCTTTCTTAGAAAGCAAAGATGATGATCATGAAATTACTGCCATCATCGTAGAGATGCTGAATAACTCTCCTGGATTTCATAGAACTGGAATAAATTAATCTGCACTGCCCAAGGGAGTTTGCGATGAACGTGGTCTAAATATGTGGGGGGCACTCTGAGGTAGGAGCTCTGTCTTTGTGCTGTATCTTTTTTCATTAAATAATTCAAATTCACTGTACCAAGACAATAGAAGAGGAACAATGAGTACAGAGTCCAGAGTGTCAGTCTCTGCTGCAGTTAGATCTTAATTCAAAACACTTACTTCTCTTATTTCTCTGTTCCAGGTAAGTGAACCCCGAATCATCTGAGAGCCAATCTTTTTCTCTCATTACTTATGATGTGTGTGCAGCTCAGACCAATTAAGGATCTGATAATTTGCAGCATGTCACCGAATTATGAGTCAAAACAATTATGAATCAAACCAACTGTCAATTGTCTCTATTAAAGGTTAAGAATAGAAAGAAATGAAGTAGTGTATGGGCACATAATGGTTAAACAAATAAAAACTTTCGCAGCCAAAAGCAAGCTGCCAGATTTTGAGCTTTATCACAGTATCAATACACAGTGTATTTTACTACCTTTACAGACTTGCAGATCTTAACTTTACCTTGAAGCCACTTCCTAGAGGTTTAAGTTTTCATTTTGAAAGGCAAAACTGTCTTAGACTTGCTCCAGTTATACCATGCCTGGAGAAAAGAGTAAAGCAGTAACAGTTTGCAGTAAGACATGGAAACTGCCTGGTAGCCTGGCCTCAATTCACCTCACAGTAAATATTTTCATCTTTGCCACCTTACTTACTTTAAGGTACTCAGCATCACAAATTATCAAAAGTTCCAGCATTTCTTATTCTGCCACTGTTTGCAAAGTCAAAACATATGAATCCATATCCAGAGCTTCATCCAATTGGCTAAGTACCACATTTCCTAACTGCTGCAACATCTTTCTCTTGGATTAGAAAGTTAGTGAAGGAACTGTGAGCAGTTGTCTGACACCTTGTAAAATATTGTAAAATACGCATTTTGCAATCAATTTGTATTTGAGCAAGAATGTATACTTCAGGAAAATACCTGAAATGCTTTAAGAATTGTTTCAATGTTGCAGAACCAACCTTTTAACCTGGTGAGTTGTTCCAATAGCTGCTACCACCAAGCTCTTAGCTATAAATTGCTGTTTTATTTCCATTGTGTTTTTCTCTAATTCAGTTTTCAGATTTCAATTTTCTAATTGAATTACCATCTGCTGGACAAAGAGCTTTTATTTCAGATTTTTTTTTTCCTTTTTTACCTATGTTGATATTCCTAAACTGATTAAATGAAAAGTTTCTAATCTTTCCTTTGCTGAAGAGATTCAGGCGTGTGTATCTGCACCTTGTCTCCCTCTACGTGCATGTGATTTCAGCTATGCTGTACAAACATAAACAGGGCAGAGTATTCTCTGTACCAAGTAAAGATAGTGTCTCTCCTGTTATCCCTCTTATTGTTATTAATGTTTACATGTCTAAGGACTATATTAGCCATTTATCCGCTCTCACCCGAGAGCCTATATGCATTTGATTTTTCCCAATGACCCATGTTCCTTCCAACCCCTCGCCTATAATCCTTTCCTAAAATCCTACACCCTCAGACACCTCCAGTCCCTAAATATGAGTTATATTGGCTGCCTGACTATATTTTTCCAGGTTACTTTGACTTTTCTTCACAGTGTCATCTGACCAAGAGTGGGATTTTTTTCCTCCAGAGCATATGGAGGAGAAAGTACCCTGATCCTTTAGAGTTACCTACTTTGGCTGCCCATCTGCCATCACCTCCCTCCTACCAAAGGTTACTTTTCTTAGAGATGTGCAAGTGCTGCGTGTTTAATTACCTGTCAGGTGGTCCTGTTGGACTGTGATTCATTCAAGTTCTTTTAATAGCAAACTTTTCTAACCCTGACCTTTTGACAAGAAGCAGGTAAGGGAGGAATGAAACCTGCTGTTATGGTGGCATATCTGAGGAGGCAGAAATCTCTGGTAGGAGTATCAGGGACACCAAAAGGCCACTGGGCTGGTTCAGCCACGGGCAGAGCAAAGCAGGCAGCAGCAATCTGAGAAACCTTCAGGTCGGAGCACAGGGCCGGAAAGGGGCATATCACTGAGAAATGTACCACTGAGGCTTTCCCTTTCCTTTGGATGTAAGACTTCTTTCCCGATTTGACTTTTTTCTCATGTGTTTGTTGTACTGAACAGTTCATGTTTCTTATGTTTTTATGTGAGCTGCAGTTCTCTGAGAGGGTAGAGGGGGAGTACCTGGTTTATAAAGATAATTCAGAAATTTTGGGGAAGAGTTTTTCCTACAGGAGCCAAAACAGTAATGTCAGTTCCAAATCTGGTCAGCTGAGATGTGTCTTTGAAAAGAAGGGAATCAGGAATGTTTCAGTAAGAATAGATTTCATTCAAAGTTGAAATATTTTTGCCAAAATTTAGTGTGAAAAGCAGTTCTGACAATAATCTTCTGTCAGCACTGCAGAACTGATTTTCTTGGCTTCAAAAGTCAGGTATTTATTGCATATATACTACAAAAAAAAATGGAGTAAGCCTACAGTTAAAACAAAGCAGGCATTCACATACTTATATGAGAGGTGGAATTAATATGTACATATATATATTGTGATGTGGCGCAGACAGGCCATTTCCCTGTGTTCTCTCCCTTGTTTCGTAAGTACTCCTTGAAATGTCAGGGATGTTTAAAACTTTGAAGACACAAGTGCTGTGAAACTTGGAGTGGGCAGTGAAATGGGTATCATATTTTCCTATGGTCTTTCAAGCTCTTCCCAGTGAGGTTGTGCTTGTTTGCTTGTTTTCTCCAGCATAGCTATCGTGACAGGTTTTTCTGTATTTAACCTTTGTGTGAGCGTTTCGAGACGGGCACAGCAGCCTTCTGGCTGTTGGTGTAACAGGCTGTTTCCTCTCTTTCCGCCGGGGATTGCTTGACAAAGCGACAGGTCCTATATCAGCAGTGGAGGGGAGCAGAGCACGGCTGCAGGTGAGCGCTTACACAGGGACTGACTGCAGCGAGAGCCGGGCGGGAGGGCGCCGGGGAGCGCGGTACCGCAACCACGCTGGAGCAGAGCGGGGGTCCCAGCTGCTGCTCCCACACCCCGGGGTGAGAGACGGGGTGGCTCCGCAGGCGGGCCGGGGAGGTAAAGGGAAGGCGCTACCCCAAGGAACGCCATGCGAGGGGTGCCGGAGCGAGGATGGTGCAGTATTGCGGACTTTTGTGCTCTGTGTGCTATCAGCCATGCGGGATTTCTGTGGTTTGCTTGCAGAATTTGGTTTGGGGCTTTGGGGGGGGGGGGGGGGGGGGGGGGTTGTTTGTTGTTTTTTTTTTTCTTTTCCCTTTTTTTTAATGGGCAATAAAAAGTATTTCTACTTGCTTAGATGGTTGTCTTCAGTGGAAAAGTATGCATGTGCCTTCAGTAAACATGGAAGAGGGTTAGCTGTCTGGGAGAACAGTGTCAGTGTCTCACCAACCCTGTGTTGAAGAGAAAGATGCTGTGGCATTATTGAAGGCAAAGCGCCTAGGATGGAAGAAAATAGGAAGGCTATGACAGCTATATTTTAAGTCATCAATTCAACTTTTTAAAAGAATCGCTATTTTCCAATCTTTCCTGCTCCTTGGAATGAGACAGAATGACTTTTTCTGCCAGTCATTTGTTGCCTCGCATTTATTGAAGAAGACACAATTATCTTCAATTTGCAGCAGAAATTGACTTAAAATAAAATACAGACGGGTTTTTTTTTAAGGCTATTGTGCAGCATAGCCATCAGGCATTAAAATCATGGTTAAACTAAGGTGGAGATATTGTGTTTAAATACTCTTTCTTTGGACACATTGTCTTATTTTCTTGCACTTTGGTATCAGACTCATATGAAGTCAAGTCATACCATGTGAAGAAAAATGCTCTTTCTTAATAGTTTAACTCAGATTCAATAAGCATCTACTTGGTAATACCACCTAAGGAGTATTTAGGGATTTACAGAAAAATTCCATGGAAGCAATTCTTTTATTGAATTTATATTGGTCTTACCAATTAGTCAATATCCAAGCAGAGCTTTTGCTATGATTTCACCAAAATCCTATGACTCAATGAAAATGTCATATACTGAGCAACATTTCTAGTATTTTGTAGGTTTCTGTCATTACTTTCTCCTCCTTCCCCCTCCTCCTCCCCTGCAAAATAAAGGTTCTATCAAGGGGATAGATGCTTATCTACACCACAGAGGTTTGTTAAATTTAGAATTATTTTGAATAAGAAGCCTTACTAATTTTAATAGTTGTTTGGAAAGTTACAGATGTTCTCATAGGTGAGGATTTGTGAAAAGAGTAAACCCAGATTATCTGCAGTTATCTCTGGTACAACTGAGTAGGAGTGGACTGTATTGGAAGCCAAGGAAAAGCAAAAGTCTGCTGTGAGTGGTGGAGGAGAATCTAGAATGTTTCTTACCATTCTTAGTGGCAGGCAAGGAAGATTATACTTCAAAAGAAAATATGATATCACTTAGCTATGATGTAGTCTTGAATTTTTGTCCCTCGGATTGGTTATGTGGAGGCAAAGCTATGGTGTATAGAGGTACAGGGGAATACAGATGCATAAGTAGCACTTCTCCTGATTCTGTGATAACATCCCAGTGGTTTAAAATAGCAGAACAGGCCCTAAGCAATACAGAAATTAATGTTCTTTGTTCTCATTTAACTTGGTATCCAGTTCATTGTTCATTCTGAAATTTAGTACTATGTCCATGTAGTGAGAAGTATCCTGTATCCACTCTCATAAGTTATGTAGACTGTTTAAGTGTATGCGCTGACTCAAGGTCTCAGCCTCAGTGGATATAAATGGATGACCTGAACAGTAACATTTACCTGGCATTTCCAGTACTAGCCTGGTCATCATGGTGCAGATGGGCTTTTTGAGTGATGGTGGAAGGTCCTGTCTTAGTGATGCTGCACAGAACTGAGGTAGATATTCCATGGTCCAAACTTCTTGTTCAGTTCTTTGGCCAAGTAGATAGACCTCCACTTAATTACTTTCTTCTTCCTCTGCTCTTCTTTTGAACACAGCTACACTCACCCTACTGTTAGTACACCCCCAGCCCTGAACAATCTCACACATTTTAGTTTAGTTTAGATTTTATTTTATATCTTTTTATTTCATTATTTTATTTAATTTTATTTCTTCTTAGAAATAAGAAACAAAATTGTATCCCTTGCAAGAAGGGCACGATTGATCCACAGGTAAGCTGGTATTTCTCTCACACTTGTGTCAGCAAGTTAAATTGACCCATTCCACAGCTGCTATTCACTTTGATGGCTTAAACAACTACCCCTTGCCGTGTAACTTATCACAGAATCACAGAATTCTAAGGGTTGGAAGGGACCTCAAAAAATCATCTAGTCCAGCCCTCCTGCAGAGCAGGGTAACCTAGAGTACATCACACAGGAACTTGTCCAGGTGGGCCTTGAATATCTCCAACGTAGGAGACTCCACAACCCCCCTGGGCAACCTGTTCCAGTGATCTGTCACTCTCACAGTAAAGAAATTTTTCCTGATGTTCACATGGAACCTCCTATGCTCCAGTTTACACCCATTGCCCCTTGTCCTGTCACTGGACATCACTGAAAAAAACCTAGCTCCATCATCCTGACACTCACCCTTTACATATTTGTAAAGATTGATGAAGTCACCCCTCAGTCTCCTCTTCTCCAAGCTAAAGAGTTCCAGCTCCCTCAGCCTCTCCTCATAAGAGAGATGTTCCACTCCCTTAATCATCTTTGTAGCTCTGTGCTGGACTCTTTCAGGCAATTCTCTGTCCTTCTTGAACTGTGGGGCCCAGAACTGGACACAATAATCCAGATGCGGCCTCACCAAGGCAGAGTAGAGGGGGAGGAGAACCTCTCTTGACCTACTAACCACACCCTTTCTAATGCACCCTAGGATGCCATTGGCCTTCTTGGCCACAAGGGCACATTGCTGGCTCATGGTCACCCTCCTATCCACCAGGACCCCCAGGTCCCTTTCCCCTTCACTACTGTCCAGCAGGTCAGCTCCCAACCTGTACTGGTACATGGGGTTGTTCTTCCCCAGATGCAAGACTCTACACTTGCCCTTGTTGGATTTCATCAAGTTCCTCTCCGCCCAACTCTCCAGCATGCCCAGATCTCGCTGAATGGCAACACAGCCCTCTGGTGTGTCAGCCACTCCTCCCAGTTTAGTATCATCAGCGAACTTGCTGAGGGCACATTCAGTTCCCTCATCCAGGTCGTTGATGAAAACATTAAACAGCACTGGTCTCAGCACCGACCCCTGAGGGACTGCACTAGTCACAGACCTCCAGCTAGATTCTGCCCCATTGACCACAACTCTCTGCCTTCTTCCTTCCAACCAGTTCTTGATCCACCTCACTACCTGATCATCAAGCCCACACTTCCTTAGCTTGTCTATGAGGATGCTGTGGGAGACAGTATGAAATGCCTTACTGAAATCAAGAAAAACCACATCGACCGCACTACCATCATCCATCCACCTAGTTACTTGCTCATAGAAGGCTATAAGGTTGATCAAACATGACTTCCCCTTGGTAAAGCCATGTTGGCTGCTCTTAATGACCCCCTCATCCTTGATATGTCACTGGACCTTTTGTTACTTTACTAAGGCGTAAGTAAAATTTAAAAGTGTCTGTATTTTGCAGATGGATGAGCAGAGCAACAAAGGATATAGGAAACATGCCTGAGGTTGGGCACTGAATCAATCAGAGGCAGAAGAAAGAATTAAATCCACATCTTCTAGTGTTTCTAGAATAAAGGCAACAGAGAATAGGGCAAGACAAAGGATCAAAAAGCAATGAGATAAACGATGCCTTTCCCAAACTAAACAAGATAAGCTTCTGACACAAATCATCCCACGTTAATGTTAAAATGGCTACCAAACTGCTGAACTTTGCCATGACAAGATGAGAAAATGCCCTTCCTACTGAATCTGAGCACGTCAAAGCCACCAGAGAAAGTGATAACAGTCATAAATGACACCAAAACTAAGTCAAGTAGTAGCCAAATTCTACAGCTGACTTCCTCCAACTAAGATTCAGTTTGTAACTGGATGGAATTGAATGAAAAATTATGAATTGAATGAAAAAAATATAATTTTTTGTTGTTTAAGCAGTTGCCAATAATTATTTCTTCCGAATACAACAATTAAAAGAAACCACTCTTCTGCCTCTAGTAAAAGTGTGTCATGTTGCTAAAAAACAAATCAGGGTCACTATGTACTTATTCCTGTAATAGTCCCTGGCAGTTTTGAGGAGGAATAAATTCAGAGTGAAAATTCTATTTAAGTGTCTGAACTGCTTAGTAATAGATATTTAATAAGAAACACATCTATATACAGGAATGTAAATTAGACAACTTGTATAAACACTTCAGTAGTGTAACTGTTTGATATATACTGGAGAATTCTTAAAAGACACTCATTAAGAGTCACAACTACCCTGTGCAAATCTTCACTGAGTTTCACTAGCCACTTTGATCCAGGCCTCCAGAAGAAGCCTTGTTTCTTGTTCTAAATCTTTCTTCTCTGGTTCTTAAGCCACCAAGGAGCAAACTTCCTCTCTTCTCAGCATTTGGGGCGTGGGCTTTTTTTAAATAAAATTCACTGTCATGGTGAATTTATGTGCAGCTGGTTTCTGTGACCTTTTATTGGCTGCAAAAAATCTCATCTGCCCTTTTTACAGACAAACTAGCACTCATTTACTTCTTAGAAGCTAAGCACTAAAAGAGGCACAATTTTCTTTTTAGTCCACTGTAGCTTTTTATTATTAAATGACCATTGCATCAATCATTCATTAGGAATGTGAAGTTATACTAATAACACAACAACTTCTGGGTTTCCTACTTTTTTAATTCTTGAAAAGTATGTGATTTTGTTATAATATATGCAAAAATCATACCTGTAATGTATTTTATAAATGTCTTAGTAAGGCGTGGCTTCAAGTATATTTGTGAAGAGAAATTGTTTTCATTGTCGTAGCTGGATTTATTTTGTCTTCACCAATGTAAGTAACTGTCTTTGTGATCACATGTGATTCACTCAGGTTTCATACAGAAAAAATGGTATTTCACCACCAAAAGATACTTTTCTATGTCATATCTTTGTTATGAAGCAATAAGTTTGTAGAGGTTTTGGTGGTCTTTGTGCATTATGCAAGTGTAAAAATTACCTCCCTCTTTGTATTTTTTGCATTTTATTTTCATTACATTTTCCTCTTTCTGGTAGCTTCCTGAACCCCCTGATTTCGGGAAGTAAATTAAATATTTATTACTCACTGCCTTCCTTATGTCTTGAACAGCATAACCCTGTTAATTTGATATTGTTGAAAAGTGGCACCTCATCATCACCTAGTAAAGACTAAGATCTGTTAAAAGGGTGATTTTATTCTCAAATGTGTATATAAAGGGATTTTCTGCTTCATCCCAGGCCGCAATTTTGCTTTAAGATACTGTATTTACTGAAATGCACTGTCTGGTGCAGCACTGGATGCCATTGCGCTTGCAAGCGCAAATTTGTGGCTTGTGGTTCAACTTCTTGTCTGCTGGGACCACCTCAGCCATAAGAAAAAGCAGACAGTTCACCTTTTGAGAGCAGAATAAACACTGTGAGACTAAAATGGTGTAACTTTGATGATTAAAAACTTGTTTAAATTGTAACAGACTTATTATATCACAGATTTAATTTTGAAAATAGTATCATCCAGGTCTTTTATGTACAATTCTGAATGTACAAGATCTTAGGGTGGAAGGTTTTATGAAATTCAGATGATCATTAAAGTGATGAACACTTAGATACCAGACTTAACTAATGATATTCAAATTATTAGTCCACAAATAATTTATTTTCTCTTTCTATTACAGAATTAAGTCCTAAAGTCATTGAAGAATGAGTGAATTTCAGCCTTCCTATCAGAATGGTACACCAGGCTTGTTTAACAGATCTTGGAGTGGATGGCACCATTAGTAGGTGATTGGTGCCACAGAGACAGTCATCCTTCCCTCTCTGACTGGGATTATCTGTTCAACAGGTTTAGTTGGAAATATCCTCATTGTGTTCACAATAGTAATGGAATAGTATGGAATCAAATACATTTTTCAATAAGATTTACTGTTAAAAATATAAATTGACTGCATGAAAGAAGTAATTGCCCAGCACAGGCAAGGATAGCAAGTCTTTCATGCTCTGTTTAGTCATTGACATTTACTTCTCATTAAAACAAATTAAATCATGAATATAGATAGCAGTAATTTATGTCTTCTTAGCCTTTGCCTCTATGAGATATAGCACTTCAGTGCATGAGTGACTTCAAACATACTCAAGGAAACCGAAATACATGCCTTCTTCCCTAGTTTCTGTTACAATTGGCAGCAATCTTCCCATTAGCATATGTAAAAGCTAGACTAACCTTTGAAGTTTAGTTATGGTACCTGCCTGGCATTATAATGTTTTACAAAATTCTTTGATCAGTTGAAATATAGTCTTTTTCTCCTTTGAAAACTGCTCCTCTACCTCATTATTTCTGCCTTTTACAGCAACATCCTAGAACCTACTGCTTTTTGCAGCACTACCTTCCTTCTGGAAACAGCCTTCGTGCTAGTCCAGGATTCTTACATGGCAGGAATTAATATCTCAAAACATTTTTGATGCATTCTGACAAGGTAAAACTACTGAAGTTGCTGAGGTATTGGGGGCCATAAATTCAGACACAACATTGTTTATGCAAGAAAATACCTTTTAGTCTCTTAATTTGAACAAGATATTTTTATATATATATATGCATATATAAAATAAAAAATAGCTGATGCTACCTCAAACTCTAAATCCATACGCATGTATCTTGAAAAGGTGTCTTTTATCTGAGGTGTAAATTTAGCATAAAGAATTATGACAGCATAAGGCTGATATGCATGGCACTCTACAAGGATTAATAGGTGGATTCCAGCCCTACATATTGTGCTTTTAAAGGGAAGATTTCCAAAGGACAACGCAGTATTAAGTGTCTGTCGGCCTCTGAGCTTTAGTAAACTTCCCTTGAAACTACCAGAAATCTAGTGCTTGGTACACTCAAGAACATTGTAGCTCACATTCTGAATGCGGAGGGAACAAATGTGGAAACAATATGTCTGAAGTGAACATAATGGCAATATGAATTTTTGAATGTATGAATGAATGGAAAGGAAAAAAGAAATCCTTGAGTTTCTAAAAATTAGTTATAGAGTCTTAAAAATAATAGAATGGAAGGAAACTGACATGGAGCAAAGATCATTTTTTTTTTACCCTGGTGAAAAGCCTTTGTCTAACTGAAATAAAAATATGAGAGACAGTGGGAATGTCTCTTTTCCCCAATGACTTGGGGAAAAAAAAGAATATAGTTTAAACTGTGTTTGCTTGAGAAAATTATAAGCATTCAAATTTATGGGCATGAGCATTAGTACACAGGAAAAGAATTTAAATAGTATATTAGAAAGTTAGTGTGGTAGTTACCAACACTAAAAAAGTCAGCCACAAGCCTCAGATTCTGTAAATAAATGTATATTTAAAATGCAGCTACATTTTGAAAAATAGCCATATCAGAATCTTGTCCTCTAGATAGATTGGATTCTGCTCAATGGCTCTGCTTCAGAGAGGTGTCTTGATCATATTTTCTCATTTCATTAAAATTAATGCTTTTTAATTTTTTTGCATTACAGAGTTCTTTAAAGAGAGAAATAAGATAGATTATCTCTCTAAGTAGAAAGTTATTCACTTTCCTGTAGCAAATGCTTTACTCATGGTAGAAGATGATAAAGAACAAACCTTGGAATTTCAGTTCCACAAATTTGTTTGCAAGTCTGCCAGCTGAGGACAAACATTTTAAAGTTTGAATTAAACTGGTATAATCTGCAATTTACTCAGAGAAAAATAACTAAATAGCCTATTGAAATTACATGTAATATATGTCTATGCAGTGAGATTTAATGTAAAAATTACTAACTCAATGACTTTTGGCTGGCCCTCCTTGTATGAATGGATTTCATCCGTAGGGAGTAATAAGAGTTGAGATACGCTGCTGTTTAATTAAAATGAAAATGATGAAGAAAATGCGGCAAGGGTTCAATGTCAGCCATAAGGAACCAATAACTTTCATACCAGCAACCCAGAAAAACTGGTCCTTAAAACTGTGGTTCTGTTAGCAAGTATTTCATGTAAACTTTATTTTTCATGTAAATACTGACTTTGGTGGGCAGCTGCTGGGAGAATGGCTGGTGTTTTATGGAGGCAGAAAATCCAATCCAGACAACCCCAATTAGCTCCATTATCCTGACTTTATATTTTGAAGAAAAAGCATGTTACAGAAGAGAAAAGGGCATCAAATACAATTTCAATTATTTACGAGTATTTCTTTTCAGATTAACCTGATTTTTATTAAGGTAACTAATGGTAAGTGGTAAAATAGCATGTCCTAAAATAGAGATTGCAGATATGTGTGGCAACACTTATTACTTGCATTCTGAGTTCTCAGCTGGAGAGGGTGTATTTACAACTGAATATAGTCAGCAGCAGAAAATTTTTGAAAACACTATGCATAGCTACTCTATCCAGATCAGAGATTTTATGTTATCAGTTTTTATATGTTATCTTCTTGGGAATTATTAAGTCAGAAAAAGAACAATACAGTAAGTTCAAGAATTATAACATGAAAAAAAATTGCTAAAGTGTGGATGCTCCTAGGTGGTGTTGATGACAAACAGGTTTCCTGAAAAGATTTTCAGAAGTAAATAGATTAACATGGAACTTTGAGGGATTGATTATGGGGCTGGCCAGATTTCGTATTTTCCTTCAAAGACCTGGGGCAAAGTGTAGGAGTGGGTCAATAATATTCCTAATAACATACACTGGGGAAATGTGGCTGATGTGAAGGAGTATGAGACTATCATACAGAAAGAACCAGATAAAGACTAAAGGAGGGACTAAAGCAATAGAAATAACATTTAATAGCACAAAGCCATGGAATTTTTTCTTATTAGTATTTTTTTACAAATAGGAAACACTGCTGTCAGTTAGAAAACAACAGAGGAAAAGCTCCTTGGATTGCTGTGGTCTGTCAAAGGCTAAAGCTGCATGAGAAGCACACACAGATGTAATACATGTAAGGCTCTGCCCTTCCAGGGAAAAGAGGAAAATGCCAATGACATTCTCCAGGCATGAAAATACAAACTCAGACCACTCTGAAGGGCCTGAAATGCAACTCTCACCAGCTGTTTCCAGGAAATATGAGATATTCAGTCTGGAATAAGAAAAGAAAAGAACAATTTCTAGAACCAGAATAATAGAGAACTATGAAAATTCACTTAGATTTGTTTAAAAAAAATTTTAAAAAAAAGACCCAGAAGTGTGTGCTTGCTCTCTGTAAATCAGGATCAAATACAGCAGAAAGGGTAAAGAGCTGTTTAAACTAAAGGCCAAAACTGGTATAAGAGCAACTGGGTAGACTGCAGTGAAGAGGCATTAAAGGTTGTTAACTGGATGGTGATTTATACCCTCCCAGAACAGTGATGTCTTGTGGTAGCCTTCAGTAGGAGTAATGGAAATAGAATGATTATTTCTGAATTGAAATTTCTCTATTATAAGGATGCCTTTTCTGCTCTTGTTGCCTGCAACAACCAACAACTTAATTCTATGACAAGGGTTATCTCTTCCAATCTTGGGTTCCTGCTTTTCCTAAATCTAGCAAAAGAAAACCCCGCGTTAAAAAACATACTTAGTGCCCTACGAAGTATCTCAGCTCTTCTGTTCTTTATTCATCGCTGAGATAGGGAGCTAAGTGTTGTTGCACTGAGACAGCATGCTGTCAGTTTTCTCTGATTTCTATGATTCTGTTTTAGATCTGTTTCAGAAATAAAACAAAAACAAGCTAATGTTAGAGATGTGGGACTTCCCATGATGACAGCTGGCACAGCAACTGATACATGTTTCTAAGTGATGTTGTCTGCCTTGACTGTGAGATTCAGTTAAACAGCCATATATTTTTGGACCAGGATTTGTCTTGGGTTTAGCAGTAGCAGTCATTTTTTCTCCTTCTTGGTAGCTGGTGCAGCGCTGTGTTAGGAGTACCTCCTTGGCTAGCCTAGGTCAGGCGTCCAGTCTCCGCTCCCTCCCAGCTTCCCCTCCTCCCTGCCAGAGCATGAGCCTCACAAAGTCCTTGGTCAGGGTAAATATCACTTAGCAACAACCGAAAACATCGGTATCCACAGGACTGCTCCCAGGCTGGAAGTCAAAACACAGCACTGCACCAGCTACCAAGAAGAAGAAAAATTGACTGCTACTGCTAAAGCCTTATCTAATTGTACAGATGTGAGCCAAATATTTTTCAGCATAACTTTGATTCCCCAAGTGAGTCATCAGGGTGCCTCCATAGAGAAGCACTACTGAGTGTAATACCTATCGTCTTTGTCATGATAAACTTCTCCCAGAGTTCTATTTCTCTGCAGAGATTGTAGAAGCCAAGAACACTAGGAGGCATTAGAGGTCTAAATTTCAAACTGAGAAAATTAACATAAAAGAATCCCACCCTCAATTAAAAGGAAAAAAGATAACTCTTTCCTGATAAATATTGAGATGTTTTTTCAGCTACTATGAGAAAATTACATGCACAGGAAAGATCCAAGAGGAAGCACATTACATACTTACCAGCACAAAAGTACTACAAAATAGGGTCAAGTATGTACAGGACAGATGCTGTTGGACATGGTCTTGTTAGGAACCAAGGATCTAGGTAAACTCCAAGTGAGAGCGGAAGGGAAGTGGACTGTGGTTAATGTCAGAGATGGAAATTTTAAAAAGCTTCCTCCAAGACAATCTGGTTTGTTGCAGATGGTTAGATTTTGTAGGGAAGGAGAAGTCTAGGTGGGAGGATGACTTTAAAGCTGGTTGTACTTGCCACTGCAGACATATCCCAGAAAAAATGCCATTTTATCCTTTTCTATTTGAAGAAAAGGTATGTGCTTGTGTTTTTAAATGTGTGATGCCTATAAATAATCTTGGTTTTGACCAACATGTCCAAACTAACACTTAAGCTTTTAGTTAATGAAGACTCTCTGTCCAGGAGGGTATAAATAAATTCTGATGACAGCATATAATTCAGTCAATGGGGATAAATAAAGACTGATGACAACATGTTATGCAATTGTCAGGTTCCTTGGTGTTGTTACTGGAATGACAGACAGTATATAGATTATTATGTTGTCATGCTGTTCAACACTTCTTTTTTTAGTAGATTGGGATAATTAAAATCCCAATCCATTAAAGCATTCTGCTCTTGTAATGCAGTAAACAAACCATGGAAAGGTCTGGTGAAGTTCAGAGCAAACAAGTGTGTTCTTCTAATTCTGTGTTTGAGGGATATGTTTTGGGGGGAAGTTTTGGATTTGTGGATGTTTTCGTTATTGCTGAGCAGTCCTACAGAGAGCCAAGGCCTCCTCATACCGCCATGGCAGTGAATAGCCTGGGGGTGCACAAGGAGTTGTGAGGGGACACAGCAGGGACAGCTGACCCCAGCTGACCAAAGGGATAACCCAGACCATATGGTGTCATGCTCAGCAATAAGCTCGGGGGAAGGTTGGCAAGGGGGCCACTGCTCAGGGACTGGCTAGGCATCAGTTGGTTCATGGTAACTGTTTTCACTTGTACCACTTGGTTTTCTTGGGTTTTATTTCTCTCTCTTGTTATTTTCCTTTTCATTAAAAGTTAGTAGTAGTAGTAGTATTTTATTTTATGTTATGTTAATGAACTGTTCATATCTCAAATTCAAATTCTCTTCCCCATCCTGTGGGGCGGTGGGGAGAGAGGAGTGAGCAAGCAGCTGTCTGGTGCTTAGTTGTCTGCTGGGATTATACCCAACAAGCATAAAGTGTGCAAGTTTCAAATCTGAGGTTCTCATTCTGAGTCCAGAAGTAGTTTCCAATAAAGTGTGATTTATCCTGTATATGTGAATAAAATGAAGCAGAAAAGGACCAATTAAGCTTTTTTTGTAAAACTACACGTACAGGCAGTTTCCAGATGCTTTGAAACCTGTGTGTTTAAGCATAATGGTGTTATTTGACACCTTGCAGGAAACACAGTCTGAGGCTTCTCTTTTCCTGGAGGTTTTGCATCCTTCAATGTTCACAAAGCTAAAGGCACTGGAGAAAAAGGTCACACATGCGTCATTTTCTCCACAAGCTCCAGTCATTAGTGCCAGCAGATATACTTTATGGATGTCTGGTTTTGGTTTCAGTATCATAACCAGATGACAGTGAATCATACTTTGTAATTTATTAAAAATGTTTGAAAAGAATATTTTCATCTGGCTCATTCCCTCTAGCTTAAATCTGTTTCTTTAGAAACATAGTTATTTCATATCTTGAAGCATGCAGTGAAGGCAACATGGAAAATATGACATTAAGAACTCTTCTCACACAGGTCCTTTTAGGAAATGATGGCCATAGCGCTGGAATTCTGAATGTGGTCCAAGGGTGGCCAGGTGGAGCTCTTCCAGCTGCAGGTTCTTAGGTGCCTTCCACTAAGAATGACAAATAAACTGGTACGTTGTAGTAGACTGGAAAAAAACTTGATTAGAGATACTGAGGGGGAGCATAGACAAATAGCTTAGATTAGACAGTCTGTAAGTGATCATAGGTAGGGTGATTTCTATATGGAGACTGTAAATAAGGACCTTTTTAATAAAGCCCTACAATTAAAAAATATTTTGCAAATATCAGTGCTTTCCAAAGATGCTTTATACTCCTTTCCTGACTTTGTATAGAGGAAGGCAATTTAAAGTCAGGAATTCTTTCATCTGCATGTATGACATTTGTCCAAGCCTAAATCAGGGGATGTACTAAGACAAGGATATCACACAAAAGCTATGCAATAAAGACATTATGAAACTAGCAAAGCCAAACTCCAGTACTTAGATGAAGACTCTGCATGCAGTTTTAAATCAGTTGCACTCCTTGTGTATGTATAAACCTCACAAGACTGTCTTTGAATATTTCATTGCATGCTAATTCTTTTCCCAGTGGATCATTCCTCTTTCAGCAGTTCCATTTTTACCTTCAGCATTCAAGAATCCCCTGTCTGCATCTTTCAGCAAGATTCAGCCTTGGGTCAGCTGCACTGCAAGAAGGCTCTGATCGCTCCTCTTATTTATGCTAGGCTTACATTTCTAGAGTTCCTATGTCTCTCAGACCTGTGTTTATTTTGAACACTTTATAGTTTTCAAAGGAGAATATGAATAATTGTGCTATTGTTAATAAAATAACCATTCAACCTCACTGGAAAGCAAAATTATGGAAAACAATATATTTTTCTTGAGCCTAAAATATTTAGTTTGAAATATCTTTGGGTTGACAAACTTCCCCAGGCTCTGAAATAGTGGTTCTGACAGTGTACTTATTTGTGTGGAGTTCAGTTTTGAAGTCTGCTTTATCAACAGTATAGTAGATATGTCAAGTCATCATCTTCATGTCTTCCAATTTATTTCAGAACCCAGAAGAAAACTATACCAGATATCTACATCTGCAATCTAGCTCATGCAGATTTGGTTAATATCATTGGCATGCCCTTTCTCACTCACCAGTGGGCATGTGGAGGCGAGTGGGTTTTTGGCAGCCCTCTTTGCGCCATCATTACCTCCCTGGGCACATGTAACCAGTTTACATGTAGTGCCATTATGACCGCAATGAGCTTGGACAGGTATGTGGTTTCACATTTTCATTCTATAATCCAGGACAATGATATCTGATTGTGTTTATACAAAGCTGTAGTAACTCAAAAAAGAGAAATATCATCAGTCATGGTTGATGATTTTTTGAAAACTGGAAGAATCTTTTTCTGATGTTCGTGGAGGTAGCAGAAATATTTTAAGTCTTGCTATAGCATCATGCTATGCACAAGTCCTTAAGCAATCTCAGTCACCACACAGTGCTACTACTCTGAGGCTTATCTTTAGAGACAAAACTTCTAATAAAGGCTTAATGTCACTAAACCAAGATTTGGTTTAACCATTCACATTTCAGATTAAAAAATGGCTTCCAAGCAGACTGCAGAAACCTACTGTATCTGTTATTTGTTAAAATCATTGTTAAAATTCATTAGGAGTATGACAAAAGTTTTAGCTTTTATCATAACTACAGATTTTAAAAACAGCTTCTGTATGTTCTTGATCTTAAAGAAAAAAGTCAAATTCAGGAAAGAAAAGTCTACTTTGATCCAAAGAGGTCTTCTTTTATAAGTCAGAAAGAGCATGAAGGAAAAAAGACAAACTATCCTGCATAGCACAAGACACTGGTCAGTCATTAAGAAGAATCTAGGCTAAATAGAGTCGATGGGAAGGACACTTGGTATTGAACCTGTACCATACAAGACAGCATGCTTCCATGGAAGTGAAACGTTGTCACTAAAAGGAGGGAGAGAAAAATTATCAGAAAGCAGAAAGCAGAAATTGCAAGTTATAAACAATTTTGAAACAGATGAATTATGGCGATCATAGAGCCATAATATTAGAAGTCTTATTTCATTGACATGAAATTAAAAAAGAGTCAAGAAATTATCAGTTCCTTTGTAGTTTAATTTTTAAAGCTCTCTTCTAATATTTGCATATGAGTAATGTGACAAATGAAAGCCTTTTCTTATATTCCTGAAGAATTTACACTTAGCAGTACCTTTACTATTTCTGCTTAGAGAAAAATTTTCATGCAAAAGACAGCACGGATTAAGGCAGAATGTCAAAACCTGGTATAAAAAATAGTTTATGTCCCAGCTAAAGCCATGTCTTAACATGGACATTTGTTTTGTTGTGTTTTGTTGGTTTTTTTTTTAAGGTAAAGCCTGTGCTTTCTTTTCTATTTTGAGGAAAGTTTTTCCATCTCAAATACACTTGCCTACGCAAAGCTCTTCAAATTGCTTCTCTCCTAATACCAATACCTAATATCTGCTAATACAAATTATGACACGGTAGCCAAGAGAGACAAAGATTTTTCAGGTGACAAGTTCCCTGACTGTTTATTGTTTGATAATTTCAGTAAAGCACCTCTGAAGCCATCTAGGACCTTTTCATTAAGAGAAAAGATTAAACCAGATATTTTGCAAAAAATCAGCAGAATTTATCAGGCTTTCTTTGACTGTAAAATCATCTCACATTTGCAATAAAAGCAAGAAACATAATTATACCTTAGTAAAAGTTATGCCTACTGCAACATTGGACAACTTTGTGTTCTCTTTCACATATCTCAAAACAAAGAAGCACTTCTAAAGGAAGACAGGAACTGGTCAGACCTGGGAAGCCACTTCCAAAAGGAGCCTAAGCTGAACAAAATAACTACGACATGCAAATTAATATCTGTCATATTGCTGGATGGTGGGTTTATTCCTATAAATCCTCTGCTTCATTATGGGAGTGAACTATGTCACGCAATGGTCCAATAGAGACTTTATTATTTCAGCTTTTTTTTTTTTGTGAATCAGATTTCCTTATAAGATCTTAAGAAGTGGCAAAACCCAGCTGTTCTCTCCATGGAGCTTTAGAGGTAAATTTATGAGGAGTACAATGTATAAAAGTTTGCTTTTCATTACTCATTTTCATATGAAATTAAAAAAAAATAAAAAAAAAAAAAATAAATAAAAAAAGAGCGCTGTAAAAACTATGCAAGTTGAGTATATATATTAACATTTCTGAAAAAGTTTCCTAAACTAACATCAAACATATATTTTTAATGCAGATTCATTTTTAGGCAGACATTACATAAATTATATTTCAATGAAAAATTGGTAGTACAACTTTTGCTTGTTGGTTAAAAGAAACTTTCATAAGAAGCAGCTCCTAACACCAGTTCCTTAGGCGAGTACGAACATGGGCACACACAGAAAACAATCCTAATCCCCCATGTACATGAAGAGTAAATCTGTCTGTTTGTCCTGGGTTTAGCTGTAGCAGTCAACAAAAATATTAGGATGCAAATCTGGCATAAGTGAAATCAGAACTGTGTACAGTGCAGATAGCAACTCCTCAAGCCCAAATGTTGATATACTTTTATGTTGTGTTGCTGTGTCTGGCAAGACAGGAAAGATGGAAAGATGGGACCCAGTATAATGTCCCATATAAATGTTGTTACTTGGAACGTTCCAATAAGCCACTTGACTTTAGTTGAAGATTAACCCTGTAATTAGTGATGATAGTGACTTCTTTAAAATGTCAAAGGAACACTTTTGTCTATGACATTTTTAAAAGATAGCCAAGAATTACACATTCTGAATAACTGATGCAGAATAAGAAGTTACATCATCCTTTATTCGTTCATGGCACAAAAGATGGCAGCTTTTGATAAAGCCTATGATAAAGCCTATGCTGGACTTTCTTTCTGTGACAGGATGCTGTGAAGCACATCTCATTCCTTTTAGAATGAATTCACTGGAACATGTCACAGGAAAATGCCACTGTGTCCTTTCTTATAGAATGCACCTGCTGCTGACTACTCCTACAAACTTTTGTTAAAAGAAAAAGCGCGATCTTTTTGACAGGGGTTTGGTTGCCTGTGATCCAAGGCGTACTTTTGGTATGGCACAGCTATATAAACTTGTCTCGGCCCCCTCAGAAAGTTGCTAAATATTAAGCAGTGCAAAAATACCTAGAGTAGATCCATGTATGCTAAGAAAGTTAAGGTACATCAAAGCCAGAGACAGATTTCTGAGGTGGAGACAGCAGTTCAAAGGTTCTCGAAGAGAAACACTGGCACAAAGTAGTATAAAATACTAACAAGAATCAGGGAGTCTGAAGATGCCATTTCACACCCATTGACAGCTGTACAGCAAAGACTCAAGGGTGCCATACAGAAATGATAAGAGTACTAAGATTTAGCCTAGGATCTTGTTAGTCCTAGTTGTCTGTTGCCTACTGTAATAGCCAAGAAATAACCACTTTTTGTGAATATCTTGTTTCCAAAGCGCCTCTGTGCATGGGAAAAGGACCCTGAGCAAGCTCCTGAAATCTGAGAGTTACACAGGGTACCAGTCAATTTTGAGGCTTGCATAAACATTTATTCAGCCTATCCCTTTAAGGCCTCAGCCACATAAATGGAGAAATGAAGCTGGGAAGATAAATCTGGAGTAAGTAGCTCTGTGACAGCTGAGAAGAAACAGTCAGGTGTTCCAAGTGTTTGCAGCAGCAAAGACTGACAGGCATGAGAAAATGTGTCCTGGTTTGCCCATTGTTGTAATGCTGCTCTAAGAAATTAAAATTTACCAAGGCAGTATCACTGGTAAGGTGGGGCCATATCTCTATGGAAGTCATGGGCTTTCAGTTATTTAAAACCAGAACCACTGGATTTGCCATGGACTAATCCATTTACTCATTCTTCATACTCATTTTTCTATCTCTCTTTGCTTTACTTCACATGCAGTCACAAGCACCTTAGCCAAAGGAAAACGTAAAAGCCTTATAAAATCTCATTAAATACTTTCTCTTTTAAAGTGTTACCTTGGCCTTCACAATCATACCACGCACTATGATGGTAGTTGGTCTCACAGATGTTGCTCCAGGCAGCATCAGAACAGCAAGTCTGGCAGAAAGGCAGAAAGAAATGTTGTAATAGGCATGGGTAACAGGCACTCTATGCCTTGAACTTTTTGAGAGCTCTGCAGGCTCCATCACTGCCTCCTTCTCCAGCTCTCTGTTTCAGGTAAGTATTCTTCAGACTTTTCCCAATAAAAGACTCTTTCATTACTGAGAATTACTTTGTCAGATGAGGGCACATGTCTGCCTTCAAGTTCCACTCTCTGTTTGAATCTTAAATTACCCCTTTTTTGAAGACCAGCACATTTTCCCAAATGCACCACTCACGGAATTTCACAATTTTTATCATTGGACAATAGGCGAGATTAAAAATTACACCCAAACTGAAACAACCAATAGAAACCCACTGCTGCAAAAGAATGGAGACAAGAGATCCTTGATAAGTATTTAGGATCAGATTAATTTCTTACTGTCTGGGGAAGGGTAAATGAGAATACTGGCAGGCTGGAATAAGTTCAAGTTCTATCAAGAAAATAACATCATTTATGTTGAATTGAATTGAATTTGTGGTGGTGTCTTCATACCATCCACCCTAATTATTTCTCTTGCATCTTTAAATTCATTAAATGACTTTTTTTTCCTTTGCTGAGCTGAATATTAGAAATCAGAATTAGAAAGCCAGGTAAATTATCCTTTATATTAACATATCTTTATATGAAAATATCCAGAAAAATAACCGTGTGAAAACACAAAGTGTGAAAGAAAGTGTGGAAACTCATCTAACAATACTTAGGGAAATACACTTCTGTAAAGGCCAGATTTTAAGGCATCATTAGTAAACTATGCTTTTCTTTTGGGAGAATCCTGTGAAAATTCAGCTGTGTATCCAGGAAAACACTGCCTACAAAACAAAATGAGCCAGCACGTAGGCAGTGACAGGCACTTCTGGAGCTGGAAGGTGTGGATTTAGTGCCTAGAAAGTTCCATTGCACGCACCATTCCTTCCCTTAATGATCTTCAATGACCATTAATGCAGTTAGTTTTATTACAAACTGCATTAGTCCACAGCCACTAGACTGCAGCTGCTATCAGAATGAGTTACATTCACTGTTGGTAAGTTTTGAGCTGCGTTGCGCTCTGGTCCTTTGGGCAAAGGCAGTATCACCCGCTAAGTCACATGTCACATGGTGCCTTAAGAACTTCAGCCCTTTACATGCTAACAGCCCTCTCTCTGAGGCTCTGTAGCTGGCTTTCTGTTGGCAGCTCTGTGCACAATCACCCAAGCCACCGCGGCAGCCTTTCCCAGAACCTCTGGGTCAGCCCTTTCCCCCTGTTCCCACGCTGTGGATCTCGCAGTTATCCTCCCAGCCCTGCACCTGCAAATCCAACAGCATTGTTACAGTGGGTTCTCATGGGAAGGAACTGCCACCAGCGTGAGAATCACCCCTTCTTCCCCTCCCTTTTCCTACCCTGTGGTCAAAGCTTCTCGTTGATATTAGTGGACCCAGAGAAGGATGCTTGTCTGAAGCTCCCCCATTGCTTCTCTTTCTCCTTTCATTTTGACTTTTCCCTTAAGGTAACTATATTCCATCAGCTACAAACTCTTCTAATAAATCTCTGTGCATGTGAACCTGTCTCAAAAACCTTTGTGTAATATACATTGGCGCCACGTTGGGCGCCAAAAAGAACTGTCGTGGTTTAAACCCAGTCAGGTAACTCGTTCGCTCACTTCCAGTGACCAGAGGTCTGTGTCCGTCTCCCCCGTCTCCCCCCCCCCCCCCCGGGGCTCTCCCCTTCCCCGCTCCCGGAGGAACAGGGAGGAGGATCGAGAGAGTGCAACTCCTACGGGTTGAGACAAGAACAGTCCAGCAACAAATCACCACCGCTACTATCAGCTAAAACAATGATAAGGGAAAATAACAAGGGAAGAGAATACGATACCACCGATACCACCGGCCAAGAAAGCGAGTTCCATCCGGAAGCCCGTGTCCTTCCGGGTAACTCCCAGTTACCCCCCACCCCGGGCATGACGTGCTGTGGTATGGAATACCTCCCCGGCTTCAGCCGAAAACATCGGCTTCACCAACACTGTTCTCAAATTAGAAGTCAAAACACAGCACTGCACCAGTTAACACAAAGGAAAAAACATGACTGCTACTGCTGAACCCAGGACAATACAGTTCTAGACTCTTCATGAAAGAGCAAATAATCAATGTTTTTATGGTTAGGTACCTTGTGAGCTTAAGCAAATTGAAACAAAAAGAGGATCTCACTGAAACCTTTCTGCTAAGGAGGAACATATGAAAGCATTAAGGACCTTTCGTATCATCCAACTGTAAGCACCAGCTAAAGTTCAGTCTCTCATTAACAGCAGGCAGTAGACATGTCTAAAAGGTGATTCACAGGGTGTATGAAGAGCACAGCACAGGATGAAACATCATGTCCTGTCACTTTCCTTGCAGCCAGTGGGAAGAGAGGGGCCTGGTTAGGCACACTTCTTACTCCATGTCAGCTAGTAATGTCACTTTTCTGCACATCCCTGACATATCCTATTTCCATCTTACACACTTCAATTTTCTCACAAATACCTTGTTTAATTAACAGTTTATTCACAGTTTGTAATGTCCACTGCAACTGTCTTCAGCATTCTTACTTTGGAAACATATTTACTGCCCCTTTAAAAAAGAGTTGCAGTATTGCTCCCTTACTTTGCATAGAGATGTTGTTGTTTGCACCACCTAAAAAAATGAAAGCAAGTTCAAAGTATGCATAGTACAATGTGCTTACATGGAGACTAAGAGGCCAAATTTTGTGGAAAGCAGTAGTAATCACAAGTTTTAAGAACCTGAGAAGCCTGTAAATTACCCTCTATTACGCAGATCCTGTAAGCAGTATCGATGTCAGAAGCTGTTTCCATGAGGCAGCCAGTGAAACAGGAGAGGTAGCTGTACCAAGAATGGAACAAAGTAGCTCTACCATTGCAAATGTAGGGGATTTCTGTTCTTTCTGTGACTATCATGAGGACTGAGAAAAACGGCATGAAATTAGAGAAAGCTTTTTAAGATATCTTGTGCCAGAAAAGCCTTTTGCCGATTCTAGCAATAATGGCCATTACTTTAACATTATTTAAGGAAAAGAACTTGATTGTTGCAAAGCTTGAATAATTAAAGAAATCTATTTCCTACTCATAATCAAGTAAGACTGAAAATAAGCTAATAAAACATGAAATATGAATCTTTCTTGATCTTATGCAACAGTTCCTGATCTTCATTGGCACAATTTTTGTATGTCTGAATTTTTAAGATTTATTTCCTACACGCTAGTCTACTATAATTTGTTAAAAACTCTTATTATATTAATTAAATAATGTTGTGACAGAAAGCATAATCAATTATAACAACACCTGTTGAATGTTAAGGGATTTGCTCGAATAAAAAACATTCTGACACATTGTACTAGACAACCTTTTAAAAAATGCAGTTTCCTTCCTTTTCAATGGTTATTCTTAGAATTGTTCTTTTGCAGTCAACAATTTTAACCTTGATATTTTATACTTTTTTTCTGTTCTATTTCTCTGTTACCTTGTTTTACAGGTACCTCGCTCTTGTCCAGCCATTTCGTCTAACCAATCTGAGAACAAGATCAAAGACAATTCAAGTCAATTTATGTTTATGTGTGATGTGACTTATTCTGATGTTCCCTGTGTGGGTGTACTCAAAAGTAATCATGTTCAAAGATGGTTTGGAAAGTTGTGCTTTTGATTTAACCTCACCTGATGATGTTCTCTGGTAAGTTTTCAAAGCGAAGGGTATCACATCTTCAGCTGATCTTGAAGATACCGCCCGTTTTGTCTTTAACATCCCAGGCAGGCAGACGGATGGAATAGAATAAAATAGAATTAAAGGTGGAAGCTGAGCTTTATATCATTCTGATCATTAGACCAGTTTGTATTGGTAATATAGGGGCTGCCCCACCATGACCAAGTTCAGCAAGATAGCTCCCATAACAAATGTAACAGATAAGGACATCTGCTTCTCTTGCTGCATTTAGGTAACCGGTTTGCAAGTGAAAACTCATTGCCCCTTCTGACCTGGCAGACTGTCATGTTTGGAAGATATAGATCACAGAAGAGATTAAACACTCTTCAGTTTGCATATATGGCTTTCCAGTATCTCATGGCCAAACAGATGTCTGCCTACTTAGAAACATAGAATCATAGAATGGTTTGGGTTAGAAGAGACCTTAATATCCAGTTCCAATCCCCCTGCTACAGGCAGGGATGCCTTTCACTAGACAAGGTTGCTCAAAACCCCATCTAACCTGGCCTTGAACACTTTCACAGCTAATCTGGCTACAAATCATGCAAAGGACCTACCAGCAAACAATCATTTTCCAAAGCAAGAACATCCAGTCGGCTACACTAAAGCAGAAGAGCAGTTTGGAGAAGTGGTTGCTTTCTAGAATTTTTTTGTTGCTATTGTCCATTTCGTTTTTAGAAAGTAATTACAGAAAATCCTATCTTTTGATACATTATTCACTTGGCCTGCCATGAAGAGAAAATTTGTTTTTTATTAGTATGGAATGAAAAAAATACTTGAATTCAAGCTAGCTTGTTGGTGATGACTAACAAGGGACATGAAAGAAAATTTTAGAAACCTTATGTAACAGTAACTTTTGGCTGATACTGGGTGGTCTTAAATTAGCATGTTCATTTGGATAAGGATGGTATTTTTGGGGTGAATATCCCAATTGTCTCCAAGTAGAATAGTTAGGGTTGGAAAGGACCTTAAGATCATCTAGTTCCAACCCCCTTGCCATGGGCAAGGACACCTTACGCTAAATCATATCACCCAAGGCCTCGTCCAACCTGGTCTTGAACACTGCCAGGGATGGAGCATTCACAACCTCCCTGGGCAACCCATTCCAGTGCCTCACCACCCTAACAGGAAAGAATTTCCTTCTTATATCCAATCTAAACTTCCCCTGTTTAAGTTTTAACCCGTTACCCCTTGTCCTATCACTAGAGTCTCTAATGAAGAGTCCCTCTCCAGCATCCCTATAGGCCCCCTTCAGATACTGGAAGGCTGCTAGGAGGTCTCCACGCAGCCTCCTCTTCACCAGGCTGAACAGCCCCAACTTTCTCAGCCTGTCTTCATACAGGAGGTGTTCCAATCCCCTGATCATCCTTCTGGCCCTTCTCTGGACTTGTTCCAACAGTTCTATGTCCTTTTTATGTTGAGGACACCAGAACTGCACACAATACTCCAGGTGACGTCTCACAAGAGCAGAATAGAGGGGCAGAATCACCTCTTTCGACCTGCTGGTCATGCTCTTTTTGATGCAGCCCAGGATACGGTTGGATTTCTGGGCTGCAAGAGCACACTGCTGGCTCATGTTCATTTTCTCATCAACCAGCACACCCGAGTCCTTCTCCACAGGGCTGCTCTGAATCTCTTCTCTGCCCAACCTGTAGCTGTGCCTGGGATTGCTCCAACCCAGGTGTAGGACCTTGCACTTAATGTGGTTAAACTTCATGAGGTTGGCATCAGCCCACCTCACAAGCGTGTCAAGGTCCCTCTGGATGGCATTCCTCCCCTCCAGGGTATCAACCAAACCACACAGCTTGGTGTCATCGGCAAATTGCTGAGGGCGCACTCAATCCCACTGTCCATGTCAGCGACAAAGATGTTAAACAAGACCGGTCCCAACACCAATCCCTGAGGGACACCACTCGTTACTGGTCTCCAGCAGGACATTGAGCCATTGACCACAACTCATCATAGAAGGCCACCAAATTGGTCAGGCAGGATTTCCCCTTAGTGAAGCCATGCTGGCTGTCACCAAGCACCTTGTTGATTTTCATGTGCCTTAGCATGCCTTCCAGGAGAATCTGCTCTGAGATTTTGCCAGGCACAGAGGTGAGACTGACTTGTCTGTAATTCCCCGGGTCATCCATTTTCCCCTTCTTGAAAATGTGGATTATATTTCCCTTTTTCCCATCATCGGGAACTTCACCTGACTGCCATGATTTTTCAAATATGATGGACAGTGACTTAGCAACTTCATTCACCAGCTCCTTCAGGACCCGCAGATGGATTTCATCAGGACCCACGGACTTGTGAACGTTCAGATTTTTAAGATGGTCTCGAACCAGATCCTCTCCTACAGTGGGTGCAAGGTCTTCATTCTCACAGTCCCTGCATCTGCCTTCCATCTGCAGTTCTCCCGAGAGCTTCCTGAGGGGGCCTATGTTCTCCCTAGTCTGTTTTTTATTTGCTACATACCTGTAGAATCCTTTCCTGTTATCTTTAATGCCTCTAGCTAAGTTTAATTCTAACAGGGCCTTAGCTTTCCTAACCTGGTCCCTAGCTTCCCAGACAACATCCCTGTGCTCTTCCCAGGCCACCTGTCCTTGCTTCCACTTATTATAAGCCTCTTTTTTCATTTGAATTTTCCTCAGCAGCTCCTTATCCATCCAAGGAGGTCTCCTGGCCCTCCTGCTGCACTTCCTTCTGGTTGGGATGCAACACTCCTGAGCTTGTAGCAGGTGATCCTTGAAGATCAACCAACAGTCTTAGGCACCAGTGCCCTCTAGGGCTATATCCCATGGAACCTTGCTAAGCAGGTTTCTGAAGAGGCCAAAGTCTGCTCACTTGAAGTCCAGGGCAGTGAGCTTGCTGCACGCTCTTCTCACTGTCCTGAGGATCTCAAATTCGAGCATCTCATGATAGCTGCATCCAAGGCTGCCTTGGAGAGTCACATTTCCAACGACACTTGAGGTCACATATTCAGCAGTCTCAGATTGTGTGATCTGTATTCTTTTCAGGTGAAATCAGAATGGAAAAAGTGCTCCAGAAAATCAATGAATGGACTCAAATCACTGTTGTGTACTCAGTCCTCACAGGGTGCAATTAGAGAAAGTTCTAAGATAAACCCCCTAACATGGGTGTAGTGCATCATGCCCTAAGCACCAAGTACTTCACTCTACAGATTTTCACTAGTCATTTGTACCACTTGTTAATGCAAAGCCAATAAGAGTGTATTTGAGCCTTTTTTGTTCCAGCTTCCCTTCTCATTGCCCCCCTCCATTTGAATCACAACCAGATTTTTAATGGAATTAATTCTAACTCCAGAGCACCAAAAAAAGAAAAAAATGTGTAGCAGTTCAGAAGTTAACTATTTTCATGTCAGCAAAGATCAATGAAAATCACTACTGAAGATGTAAGGTATGAGTAAAAACAACCCCTGAAATATGACTGAATATTTTCAAGAACTTGTGAAGGACATGAGCCCCTAATAGCCTGAACAAAATCAAAGAACATAGGAGAAAAACAAATTTGAAAGAATGTTGGGAATTCAGTCTAGTCCATCCTCTCTCAGATGGCATGACCAGGTAGACAGTTTAAAACACAATGAGTGTCAATAACCAGAAAGTTTAACAAATTATCAAGATGTCAATCTGTAAAGCAATAAGAAAATTGATGTCTATTTGTCAGGAACAAATTATAACAATCTAATTTCCTTCTTTGATGGAATCTCGCCTGATAAAGACTAAATAAAAGTAAAATATCTTGAACTGTAACAACACATCAGCTAGGAAAGATGGTGTCAATTAGATTACACTAGCAGTGCAAGAATGGTAGAAAAAACTGTGCTCAGAAGATGATATACTGGTCTACTATCTGACAAGCAAAATATCAGGGGACTAAACAGACTATGTCCTGCATAAATGTTTGCAATAATTATCACTAATTACCCAGGTGCGGGAAAAAGTGCACACATAAAGAATTTGGAAAGCTGAGAAGTATCCTTTGTAGTTTTCCTTTTGTAGTCAACCATATTCCAAGAACTATTCTATGATTCTATGATTCTATAAGTGCTAAACACGGCCTTAATACTTACAAGTACTTGCAGTTCTAGGTGCTTGCTGCTATCTAAAACAAGCTCCATGTATCTCTAATCAAGAATTGCAAATCAGAGACCATTTTATGAAAAATGACATTTATATTTCTTTTACGTTTATGTGATTGTATTTGTGTAATAATCTTGTTTGTTCCTCTTACATTTTATTTTTCAGGTATACACTTTGTCTTACTATAACAACTTTCTTTTATCCTTTACCACTGTTATTTATTTGCTATATTTTAATTTTATGTTACACATGGGAAACATACCAGCAAAAAAGCAAGCAGTAAGGTAAAGTATTATTCATGCTTCTTCCTATATCACATGCTGTGCTCAGACTGGTGTAGGTTTTATATGTAACAGGACAAAAAGAACAATCCTAAAGCAACAGTTAGACACTGCATTACGTAACATTCAGCGCTTCAGACACTGTATTATGTTCCCAGGAAACAAACTGGGTATGGGATTCAGGGAAGAAGCAAGGTAACAGAAAAAAGGAAACATTGTGGAGGAAGTTGCGGCTGGAGTTCTCGGTTTATCTGAGGACGACAAAAGGACACAACTCAACCCTGTACTTCTGGCTGCGGGAGGTTATCTGGTCTCATGGCTCCAAGGCCTCAGTTCAGGGATTGGGAAACTCAGGGAGAACATGGGTGCCTAGTCTGGTACGAGCTGCTATGCCCCAGGGAGCTGCAGGTTGAGCGTCTCCAGGCTGCACTGCCCATCTGCGGAAAGGGGACTCCAGGCCCCACAAGGATCCCTAGCCACTGTTGGCAGCTTGGGGAAATCCAGGCAATAAAAGAAAATTGGCACATGAACAGATGAAATACAGTTCCCCAATTTCTGTGACAGCAGTTCTTCTGCTTGTACCAATCTTCTGTCAAAAAGGAAATTGATTTCCATTTTAGTGTAGTTTCTAATTTCTCAGTCAGGAGTATCATTTTCTTCTTTGCTCTAAGTCTCTCATAATCATAGAATCATAGAATCATAGTTAGGGTTGGAAAGGATCTTAAGACCATCTAGTTCCAACCCCCTTGTTGTGTTTTAAGTGGATATTTCCAGATGTTAGATGTAGTTATTGATGAAAAAAAGATGTAGTTATAGATGAAAAAGAATGCAAAGCTATAAAGCTCTCATGCTGAAAAGGAGTAAACATTCTTAATGAAAATAATTGACAGTATTTCATCAAATACATGTAAACTACTCTCAAGTGGCTCCTGTATGTGGCATAGAATTAAATTCAGCAAAATAATCAGAAGAAAAAATAATGTACAACCAATAAAAATATATGAAGTTGTTGAGAGCTGACCTTTACTTGCACTGTTATTTGGTCTCAAATAACAGCTATTCTTTAGTAAACTCAATCCATGCCATCATTTTCCCATCTTCATTTTCCATGCTAGGAAACCTTCTTTTATTTGTTTTGCAGTTACACCACCAGTATCCCCAGGCAAAGAATCCTGAGCCTCACTAAGATGGTGCTTGCTCTCGTCAGCCCGTTTGTGGTAAGCGCTGCCCCATTCCATGTAATCCAGCTCATGAATCTTCAGGTTTCTCAGCCAACCCTGACCTTCTACGTGAGCTACTACATCTCCATCTGCCTCAGCTATGCCAGCAGCAGAATTAATCCCTTTCTCTACATCCTGCTTAGTGGGAACTCCCAGAAGCGTCTCTGGCGATGCACAAAAGCGGAAGTCAGGATGACAGACCAGGATGTCAATGGCAGTGTAAACACAGTCAAGTTTTTGATAGAAGGGTTTTCTCCCAGGAAAAGTGCATTATATACGTATAGATTTTTTCAGGTGCAGTAGATAGGCCTGATTTCACTACTTTCATGAAAGTGTAACTCAGAAATGGCTTTGTTGCTGGAATTGTTGAGCTGATGTAAGAGGATCTGTATCATTCTTTGACATGTTAGAACTCCTTGAGGAGAGATTCTCTACAAAATGTTCTTTGTTACTATGCCATTGCCTTTTTTTAATGATGATTTGTACAGAGATGAACCAAATGTATCGAGACAAAAGCGGAGTTTTAGAAAAGCTGTAGTCCTTCAGTAGTAACAGAATAATTGTGGCAGGCTTTTAGGATCTGACACTGGGTGTGAAGTCATGGAAACTGTAAGTTAATGGCCAAAAGAGTCTTAGTTACTGATGACTCAGAAGAGGGTAACTATTGATTTTTACCCTATCTACAGCTGTCTCATCTGGCACTCACTTCTGCAGCTATTAAAGTCAGGGGAGAGACATAAAGGCCCTTTCAGAGGAAAACTACTTTTGAATTAACCTTTGTACATATTCTTGCAAACAAGTGAATTCACAGTGTGCATCATCGGAAATTATTAAACTTGAGTTTTGAAAGGAACTGTATGTTTCTCTGCTTCTCTTTTCTCAAAATCTCTGCTTGCAAGACAAGTCTGAGAAAGGTGCTCAGTCCTGAAAGGGCCTGCTGTTAGTCTCACTATGAGTGCTGAGGGTAACTTGGTGCTTTCCCAGGATGCACTCCCACTCATTTCAAGTGGGGTAGAAGAATGCCTACTTGTTGTCAACAATTAATTTACAGATTTCTAGTAGGTGATGTAACCAGCAATACAGTAGGACCTTAGGTGGGGAAAAAAAAAAATGTTGAAAAATCTGATGTTCTTGCAAGATGTTCACAGTTTTAATGTTGACCACGTTGTGGGCTTATCTGCCTCATGTACTTTTCTCAGTCCACTTACTCTTAGGACTTCAGTTATCACTTCACTGTGTGAGGATGACATTTTGCTAAGACCAGAGGTTTTGTGGGTACAGTATTCTTGTTATCCAGAGACCTAATGAATCTGAAACACTTACAATACAGCTCTTCACACTTGCAGTTAGATTCTGTCTTGTCATCCCATACAAAATGGGCCTTTTGATTAATTTATTTGCAGAACTGTGAAGGTCACGCTTTGTGATCCCATGCCATGATCTGCCAACACACTACAGGATCCATGAGAAGGGAAAGAAGAAAAGACTGGGATGCACATTCCCAAACTGTGGATTGAGGTACTGCCTTATCTTCTCCTGCCATCATTTGACATCTGCCAGTCCCGTGGGATCTCACACATGCAGAAAAAGGAGTTTAAGGGTTTTGAAATCACTACTCATAGTGTAAAGCCAAAGTTTTACATAGAAAATTCATCAGAAAGATTTGTGATGGTGTTATTGTAACCATAGTAGTCTAAATGAATAATCAAGATAAATTGTACAAGCAGAGGAAATACTGTCATTAAACTCTACAGGCAAAGTATTGCTGGAATCAAACTGGAACATTGAGTCCATTCCCTGCTGGTGATATGTATTTTTTGTGCAGATTTGCCACTGCATCACCACATGTAACTACGAGCCACACAAAAACTGTAATTTCAAAATTTTATTTAAAGATACTTGCAATCTGGTGAGTAATATCAGTGTACAGATAAGGGGTACACTCATACCCTCAGACAAGTTTCATTTTGCATGTAACACTTATCTAAAATGCAGCATTTTTTATATAGGCTATTAATATTGTGTTGCAACCACCATCCAGTTCAGAATTTCAAGCTTTTCTTGTGTTTGAACTTCTGGTAATAAGTTCAGAGGGAAAATATTCTGCAGCTAAATCAGAGCATTCCAGCTGAAAGTTTCCAGACCATTAGGAAGCCAGCTTTGACTGTACTCCAGGGCACTGTGGACCTGAAGCTGATTCTAGAAAATTAAATGTCAAAGCTTTGAGATTTAATAACGTATCACCTGTTATGTACATAGTGATGACTACTGTAATCCCATCAGCCAGTCTAAAACACTGCCTGCATGAGCAAACTGGATGCCTAAGTGAAATTGGATAGTTTAGGAGGTGGTAATGGTATGATATATGCAGCATTCCCTATCCCGTAAAAGCACTTAGCAGGCCTATTACATATTAAGCATGTAGAGTCTCACAGAAGGCAATGTAGGCGTGTGACTATGTGATTTGCCATACTGGGGCCCAAACCTTCTGTCTAAATGCCACTACCATTTGGAGATGAATTTACTCAACTTACAGGTGTGCAGAGGTAGAAGAGAGTGAGACAGTATGCCTGTGCACAGTTCCTAGCAGGTGAGTGCCTGCAAATAGTCACAAACATAATTAGCACTCTAGAGATTATCTTGCTAAGGAATAAAATAGGAAGACTATTCTTGACTTCAGAAATATTTCCTGGAGCTGGATTCAAAGGGCTGAATTTATACCCATGTATGTACTTGGGCCAGGATCCCCTATTATGGACATACTGCTGTAGAGAAGTAGTGTCTTCTATCCCTTGGATTCTCTGTCAGCTCTGTCCCACCTTGAAAGAAAGTCAGCATCACCTGTATGATTCTTCAGAGGGAAAGAGAACTATCCAAATCAACAACAATCTCTGTGATAAAGTGATTTTCTCTTTGTTTCTGCATATAACATATTTGCATATTTGAATATTTGTAGGAATATTTTCCACAGTTAAGTATATTATGTAAAGCTAAAAGCATGTTTGCTGTTCAGTAATTCAGTTAAACTATTTGTTATGTAGTGCTCCAATAATAATGACAATCACCACTACCATTTAATCAGCTCTAAAGCACATACGTTATTATTTTAAACGTTAGACCTGAGAGCTACTTGACAGACAGAGCTGGGGATCACACTGCTCCAGAAAAGTTCTGCTAATGCGCACTCCTGTTTTACCTTCACTCCAAAGAGGTGTTATGAAAACCTGTCTTAGAGTCTTCAGAGTCCTTGAAAGAAGCAGAAAAAAATGGCAAGTCTGTTCCTTGACTTTTAATAAAATTGCACAAAATGCCAAAGGACATCGTATTTGTGCTTGGGGGAGTCCACAAGGTATGTTACCACAGGTCCAATGCCTGAACACCAGCATTCAAATTGCTTAGGCTGCAACCATATTATGCCTAAAATCAAACTTTTTAATCTTTCACTTTCAATTTTGCAAGACTCTGTAGAACAGAAAATCAGTTTCTCTGGCATCACCGACAAAACTGGAAATAAAAGGAACTGACATGCTGCACAATCTTTCTCATATTGTTTATTCATTCCATAAAGGCTGTGAGTGAGTTTCATAAAGTAACTATTTTGTGTGTGTTTTGTTCCTTTTTATTTTAATTATGAGTGGGTTTTTTCCTTCGCCCCCAGGAGGAGCTGGCTAGTCCTCATTTTATTCACATGCTCTTTATAGCTGTACACACTGCTGTGGCATGAGTTCTTCACACACATACTGTGAAAGAGTACAGACTGTGTCAAAGAATGAACTGTCTCAGTGAGTAGGTGGATAGATAGGTAAATAGATGGATAGATTAGATTAGATTAGATAGATAGATAGATAGATAGATAGATAGATAGATAGATACATTAGATAGAAAGTAGGCAGGCAATACCTCATGCTAAATAAAAAAAAGTAATAACTTTTTTCTCTGGTTGGTTGGATGTGAGATAATAAAACATACTTCTTAATTGGATATCCTACCCTACAAACTCAAAAGAAGCCCCTTTCAAAGTAACACCATAGTTGTATGAACACTTTGGGCCAATAGCTTCAGTCTCAGCTTAAACTTCAAACTCCATTAATCTGTCTTTTTCATACAATACTCTCTTAACAGAAGGTCTATAAAGGCTAACATGCTTGTATTTTGTTTAGGACATTTGTACTGAAAAATTAAAAATAACAAAAGCCTTAGTAAAAATATTTGTAATAAGGACTTTAAGATGAAAGTAATGGTTTCTTCCTTTTATCATAAGTATTTCTGACATTTTGGTTCAATGAGGATTTCATTTTAAAGAATTTTTTTCACGTGGGATTTGTCTAACAATGTCTCTGCACTTCCTTGTTTCCTTGAACAGTACAACAAACTCTGCTGGGGGATATTCTCAGTGGTTAATAAATCATGTTACAGTCTGTGTATTGATGTCTTTACTCTTCCGTGGACAGTCATTTCATAAAAATAGACCTTCCTATATTGCGGATATTATCAGTTCTATATATACTGTACTTGTGGCTCTGATTCAGCAAGACGCTTATGCTCCTGCTTCTGCCTATTAGAGATCATCTGGATTTAGGAGTATGTTTGAATATTTTGACAGACCAATCTTTTGGTGCCCTGTAGAGAAATTAGAATACCAGAGCTATTTCCCTAGCTTTTTGTAAATCACTCCTTGAAGACAAAGAAACTTTATCATGTCATTGTGGTATGATGTACTGCTTTGTCTCCTGTGTGATTTGAGATGTGGAGGGGCTTTGGCCAGCTTTGCAGCCCCATGCTAAGAAGGAAAAAAGAGGACATGCAAACCTGCACCCATCACTTCAGGAAATTAGTTTGATAAAGCTGAAATTTGAACAAGGGTGCACTTCACCAGATTTCAAGACATTTGTCTGACTTAAGATATGGGATCAAAATAGAAGTCGTGCATGTGAGCCTGGACTTCCTCATTCCTTCACGTACAAACACCTCAGAGAAAGATAATTTTGAAATAGGGCCCATTGTCAAGAAGTTAAAAGCACTGTCATTGAGGGGTAGGGAGAGCAGCAGAAGTGAGGACCAATACTATTAAGTGCCCCAGGCAGACAAGCCTTTCTCCAGCCACTGAGGGGTGGTGAAGGGTTTCTGGGCTCGAAATACAGTGCTGGGCAGAGGCACTGGCATTTGGCAGGACTGGACAGAGGAGCTGCGGGCTGGCACCCTTCCCTGGGCTCTGGGGAGGGAGAGAGAGAAATGCTTCTCATCCAGTTAGCTGTCTCCTTTTTATCTTCAAACCTGCAAATTCATCTCCCTCTCCCTGTCAG